ATTAGAAGCATGATAAAAGACTTTTTTCATAAATTGTATTAGGTGTTGTTTCAATGTCATTTTAACTTGTTTCATTTGATATAACTATACAAAATCCTAGGAAAACAAACAAAGAACAGATTTATATTGTTTCTTATTTTCTAAAGTCAATTTTCATTTACTATAAGAATCATCCTAAAAATTTAATGCTGTGGAAAAAATCCAATACGTTTTCGGAGTTCACGAGTTCAAACTTATAGAAAGTTTATCGAAATTCTCGAATGCAATTTATTTCGAAATATAATATCAGAAAGACGTCGTTTTCTTTAATTGTAATAGTACAAATAGCACGACTGAGAATTTGATCAATAAGATTCGAGAGGAATTATTCGGTCATTGTACTAATGTAGCTTAAATGCTTTCCTTTACGATTTGTATTACCTGAAATTCTGCATATTTTCTATTTCAAAATATTTTTCGAAATTTTGAATTATTCAAAAGTCTCATCTATTACTAGCACATAAACAATGTCAAAGTAAAAACAAAAACATTTCTTTTAATTGGATTAAAATTTTTATTATACATATATATTTATTTATTTCGATAAATTAAACTAAAATATACCGGTGACATCATAAATGGTAATCAGTTTTTATAAGTTAGATTTTTAAGTATTTGTTCATAAATTTTTCTTGTTATATCCATAGGATAATTCAGATTATTAAAATCTTCTTTAATAATATCAATTGATGTTGTTATTGATAATATTTATAAAATTTATGGTATATATTTAGGTAATAATTGTTTATTTAATGGTAATGGAAGAAATTGTTCAATTAATAAAACTAATAGAAGACCACTTTCATATAAATATATTCCTTCAGAAACGAATAAATGACTTCCAACTGATGTATGATGCATAAGATCAAATAAAAAATAATAATAATAATTGATAATGTGTTGTTATTGATGTAAAATGTTCAACATATAATTCATGATGATATATTAAATCACAATAAGATTGTAATTGACCACTGATAGATGAATTTATTCTTGATGATGATGGTGTTAATGTCGATGACCAGCATGCTTCTTGTGTATAATCAAGTATATTCAGAATATGTATCCATTGTAATAATAATGAGATATAAAATGATGATCATAATAATTTAAAACATTCATTTAAAATAGTTAAATATGAAAATGTCTCAATACTATGTAGACTTTCATCATGAATTCATAATCGATGAAAATCATTTACAATTGTTCGAAATTGTTTAACTAAAACAAAATCATAGATCTTATATAAGCATAGGAATTTTAAAGTCAAATGTATTTCGCTAGCTCATTAGTAATTAATGAATTGCAGGAAAGTTTTATCTTAAAATTAATGGGTAATATGTACATAAAGATAATCGGATGCAAGAGAACCTAATGTCATATTGAATTGACTACATAATTGTCGAGTATTAGTTAAAATTCATAATATTATGTCATGTAAAACACGAAGAAGAGTTCTGAAAACAAAAACGAGAATAATAGTTTTTAAATTATAAATAAAATCATTTCGAATACTTACGCACTAAAATTTTCATCTCATGTTCCATTAACTGATAATAAAACATCATTCTATCGTGTTAATATAGCATATTCAGTTAAATTTTGTACAAGACATCGAAGTATTATATTTATATTGATTAATTATCGATTTGTAGATTGACAATTGACATTCTAAAAAAAAATTTTAAACTATAGGAAAATTTTATAAATAAAAACAACGAACATTTCTATTTACTAATGCTCGAAAAGCAACATCAAATAGTGTTAATTGTGTGGATTAAATATCCAAAAGTGATTGATTCTATTTGAACAAAAAATAACCTGAGATTGTAAATGAGCAAGAAGTAAATCGACAATTTGTCGTGAAAGACGGTTCCATTTATCATCTTCAATTTGAACACTATTGACAATAACTGTTAACAGTCGTAAAGCCTATAACAATATAAATTCTATTATTATTTTTTCAGTACATACACATGATATGAAAAGATACTTGTATTTATAATAATTAAGACGCCTAGTTTTCCTTCAAACTCAAATACATAACAACAAGATGATTATTTTCAGATCATCAATTCGTTGAAGTGGGGGTGTGGGTTCAATCGAGGAGAAAGATTGCATCTACACACCCACACTCACACCCTCTCGAGTTTCTAAGATATTTGAGACTTTATAGAAGGACACTTTTTGTTCACTCTCATTTCATAAAACTTTTTAGGAATTTTAATTATTTGCATAACTCGAACAAGAAAAAAAATCATATAAAACTAGTTTTAATGCTGCCAAAGCTAAATAAAGAATTTTAACGATAATTTCTTTTTCTCGAAAATGTTTTTTTTTGCTTCCTACCATGTGTTTCAGGTTCATGTCCACTTGCTAATAATTAATCATAATGTTTTATTAAATCTTGTACTTTAATAACTTGTTTTGAATGAAGTGTATCATGTGATAACATTACAAGAAATTCAGCAATACAATAAATAAAATGCTATTTAAAAATAAACGAAACGATTAGAAATGCAACGAATTTCATCAGCTTCTAATTAACTATTATTAAAACGAATTAAAAGTAATTGAACAAGTAAATCGAGTACAGCAGCTTGCAAATCACTTTCATTTGTATTAATATATTTTTTAAGACTAATTTTTTTTAGTTCAATAAAAACTAAAATAGAAAACAAAAAAACAGACAGAATAAATCAAATTCGTTTTTTTGTTCATTTTACTGTCGTATTGCACTATTTATACTTGATGCATAACATGAACCAAATAAAATAAATTATCGATTGTCGAATACTTATCGTATGAATATAAGTTAAAGAATTATTTAATGATACTTGTGAAGAAACATTTGAAGATTTAATAAAAACTAAATTAAAAGAATATTTTTAAATGAATGTTGTGTTAACAGAAAAAAATGATTTTCAAATTTCGAATTGATAGTGTGTCTTGCAGATCACTGACGTCAACTAGATGATTTAATATTCGAATTTCAAGATTGAACCGAATCAAAAGATCTGACATTTTCACAACAAAACTACTCTCGTTAAGATCATCGATATTCGTAAAATCAGTTTTTCTGTTACTATGACATTCTTATATTGAAATTTTCCTTCTCTAGGAAAGATCCTTTCGGAAACCTTCATTATAAAATTTTCATCTAAAGTTTTATCCATAGACAAATTTCAGACACAATACGACATCCTAAAGGTTTTAGCTTAACCAATAAACAAAGAAGATTAATAATTGAAATTTTCTTTACAATAAATATTTACTATTAAAAAGAAGTTACCTCTTGTGTACATTGAATGTTGATTTAAAATAATTAAGTGTTTCTCTTCCGAATTTTTTTGATAAATCTTGTGTAGAAATAAGACTTAAAACTGATTTCATAGACAATAATGATCATTTCTGATGAATTTAATAAACTTTTATGTATTTGATAAGATGAACGTATTAATTCGAATAATTTCCAAAAGTACCTAATTGTGTACGATTAACTTTTTTATCTTTGTCTGCGCTTGATGTTGTTGATGAATCTTTATTATTCTCTTTAAAAAGAAAAACAAATGAATTCGTTCAGACGAAACATGATCAAATATATTCTTCAAATCTAACACATTGGAACTCTCTTCTTCTGTGAAAACTGAAATATCAACTATATTCTGTCCAAAAGAATGATGATAAAATAGTTCAATTTTCGAATTACTTGAATTATTTGTGCTACTTTCAAAACATTTTTTCATTTGTTGAGATTTGATAAATCTTCAAATAAAAAGAAAGAATTCAAAAAGAAAACATAATAAATATCTTTTTTTTCCCTTTACTTGAAAAGATTAAATTATTAAGATCATGTAATATAAAGGAATGTTTAAAAAAATTTATAAATAAACGAAGTTCATCATATTGATTATGAAAAAATTGGTCGAATTGTTGTTGATCTTAAAACATTTGAAAGAACATAAATATCTTCTAAACATCCAACCTATATAAAAGACAAAAATGACAAACAATTTGTATTCGAGTTGATGCTTGAGCTTGTAATGAATGATGAATTTTATATATCCATTGACATGGTAAAAATGAATTGTGATCAACAAAACCTTAAAATCAAAAAGTAGCTAATAACTAACTTAATTCAATAAAATCGACTTATGCATTCAAATTCGAAAAAAAGCTACCTAGTTAATATCTCTACAAAATACATACTTAACAAAAGTCGAAGCAGTTGCTTGACGGACACATATATCAGGGTACTGTTGTTTTAATTGTTGTTGTTGTTCAAGATAAGTTAATATTCGAAAATCAATGTCATCTATAAGTTGAGCTAGAGCAAACTATTTTATATACATACAAAAAAAAATTATTATAATCATATTTTTGTTTTATATACTTTAGCAAGAACATAGGAACTTGTACTATGTTGAATAGAATCTTTCAATAATTCAATTCCTATGATTGTAAATGCATGACTATTAATTAATAAAGAAAAGGTAATAATGTTCGTAAAGCATTTAGGGAAACATGTATAACACGTGTATTATTATCATTAAGACATATAACCTTGAACTATCTTGTGAATCAGTTGATACAAGTGAACGTTGATTAATAAAAGAACTATGAAATGAATTTGATAATAATGAGTGTTAAAAGATGATTTGTTGTTTGAATTAATGTAACAAGTAAATTTGCACATGCACCACGTAAATGTAGATCACTGTGTTCACATAAAGATAAAAGATATGTAATATCTTAAAGACAAGAAAAAAGAGATACCTTGATGTTCGATAAATTTTAATGTATTTCAAGTCATATAG